ATGAAAGAAAGAGATGAAAGTACAATGTTTCCAAGCCTCAAACCTCCCGCCTCCAGGTGGCAGTGTTACTTCTTTTCCCTGTAATGTTACAACCCTCTTTGTATTCCTTTTGTCTCTTTTTTATATTCCAGGTTTAAAAGAAGTAAAATCCTTGAATGAAATGAAGTAGAAAAAAGGGAAAAAAAACTCATGTAGAAATGGAAAAAAAAGGATTTTAATCCATAGGTTACAAAAATAAAAAAATAGAAGAAGAAAGACTAATCCGTTTGCTTTAAAAGACTTGCGCGAATTCCATCCATAAAATAGCATTTAAAAAGAAAGATAACACACTGTCCAATTCAATCCAAATGTAGCTTAATTTCGCCACTTATTTCTTCTGTTCTCAAATTTAATTTAGCTTTAAGGGTTTTTTTTGGGGGGGGGGAAGTCTCTTTTAAAACAGTAAAATTTCCTCACCAGCTGTACACACTTTCTCTTTCCATTTCCTTCCATTCCGGAGCTGTCCCAACTTCATCAGCTTGTGGCTGCGCTTTTGTCGCCAGCTAGAAGAGCTTCTCTTGGATCAATCAGGGATTTTGCAAGATCCCTGAGATCAGCAAGACATATTCTTCCCGATCACTATCTCTGCGGGATGGTTTAGGTCCATACGGATCGTCCAGCAGCAAAAGTAGCGACTGCGATCTGGAAACTTTGAGATCGCAGGTTGTGTCATTGCGACGTCAGCTCCTCCTTTTTCAGGAAGGGGCCTTTCTAATCCAGCTGACAACAATCAGTGGAACAGTTTGCTTCCAGAGGTTTTGGTTGCTCCATCATTGGAGGCTGTTAAGAAGAAATTGGACAATCATCTATCTGAAATGGTATAGGATCTCATGCTAAAATGGGGTTGAAAGAGACCTCCAAAGTCTCTTTCAACTCTGTTATTCTGTATTCTATTCTGCCTCCCTGAACAAATTGATGGAGCCCACACAACCCCAGGAGGCAGGCAGGCCTACTGCTTCATTGCTTCAAGAGCCCAATAGTCAGGCCAACTCTCCAGCCTCAAGGTTGATAATTTCTTGAGTTTGGAGCCTCAGACTGAAATGCTACAAATTCCTTTTCAAACTACAGATGGTACTGTCGCTTTTTTAATATTATCTGTAACTATGGATCTGTGTTGCTTAAAAATACTAGATGGACCATTTAGTCCTACTCATCTCCTGCCATTGCGGGAATTAGGCTCACTTCATCTGCATGCCTTAGTTTTATACTAGGCTTGCTCAGACACTTTCACATCATAGGATGTGCAGATGTGCAATGCAGCCAGCCACAGCTTTGAGGGGGAGGGGGAGGGGAGCAAAAAGTTTCCTGTATTGCTGAGGAATTTCAACAGTAATTTAGTCTGGAGAATCATCATCATCACACTTTTGGCTGGCATCTCTTCTTCCCTCTGTTCTCAGTACATCAAGAGGTTCATGAATGAATCCTGGCTGGAGCGCACTGGAGCCCCCCTCAATGAAAAGATGCTGATCTTCCTGTGGTCATTTGCTGTGTCTGTCTATGGAGTAGGAGGCCTACTGGGATGTCTCTGCAGTGGATTCCTGACTGTGAAATATGGGAAGTAGGTGTGCCCAATGGATGCCAGAATCCTGGCAGCCTCCTTGGGGCAGAGCTGAGAAACAAATGAATCCCTCAGTTGCAAAAGAAACCATTGGGCTGCTGGTCCAGAGAAAACAGGAGAGCCAAAATCCAGCAGGAGGGCCACAAAACAGCTGCAAGGCTTCAGTTGTTTTATAAACTTTATTTTGGTCTAATAAATGAAGGAAATCAATGGGCTTATTCAAAATGTAAATGCAAAAGGGATTTTAAAAGGGATGTTTCCTGAACTGTTTGTGTTCATCATTGGCCCTGCTGGCATCGAAGATGCTGCCTCTGTTTTAGAAAATCACCCTGATTCACTCTTAAGTCTTGTTTAGAGCCGAGGTGGCGCAGTGGTTAAATGCAGCACTGCAGGCTACTTCAGCTGACTGCAGTTCAGCAGTTCAGCTGTTCAAATCTCACCAGCTCAGGGTTGACTCAGCCTTCCATCCTTCCGAAGTGGGTAAAATGAGGACCCGGATTGTTGTTGGGGGCAATATGCTGACTCTGTAAACCGCTTAGAGAGGGCTGAAAGCCCTATGAAGCGGTATATAAGTCTAATTGCTATTGCTATTGTTTTCCCACACTTGTGATTTGTGGATGCAGTGGATGAAGCCAGCCCTACAAAACAGGCTTGCAGGCAAGGCAGCCCAAGGCAGTGAGCCAGCTAATGTGTTACTTTCTCTCCTACACTTTTTCTTGGCCCATGGACACAGAAAGAAATGCCAGCTGAGCACAGACCTCCTAGTTATCCTGACGACCATAGTCATGATCTGCAGCAAGAGAGCCAAGTGCTTTGAAATGGTTCTGCTTGGACGATTTGGTTACGGGATAAGTTCTGGTAAGAAACCTTAGAAGACTGGGCTTTAATGTGGCTTTTTATATTCCCTGAAGAAAGCCCAGGGACTCAAATCAGTCTCCTGCTACACGCCAGCCAACCTGCCATGGAACCCCAGGACTTTTGCTGTGCCCACATCCACTGATTGTCATAGGGACAACTAACTGTTCAGCCTTTGGAAGAAGAGGGCCATTGGTTGCATCCACCAGGGCTCTTCGGCCCTTCCAACTTTCAGAATAATAGAGCTGGAAGGGTGGTCTTCTAGTCCAACCCCCTGCTCAAGCAGGTGATCCTATAACTTTTCTGACAAGTGGGTGTCCAGTTTCTTCTTAAAAGCCTCCAATTATGGAGAAACCACAACTTCTGAAGGCAAGCCATTTAACTGATTGCTTGTTCTCACCAACAGGAAATTTCTTCTTAGTTCTAGGTTGCTTCCCTCCTTGATTAGTTTTCACCCATTGTTTCCTGTGTTGCATTCTGGTGCTTTGGCTAATAGTTTGACTCCACTCCCCTCTCTTTTTTTGGCAGCCCCTCAAATACTGGAAGATTCTATCATTTCTCCCTCCCCAGTCCTTCTCTCTAGACTAGACATACCCAATTCCTGTTCTTCATATTTTAGTCTCCGACCCTAAATCATCTTAGTTGCTCTTCTTTGCTTTCTTTCCAAAGTCACACCATTTTTTTAATAATGTGATGACTAAAGCTGGATGCAGTATTCCAAATGTGATCTTACTAAGGTTTTATGAAGTGGTACTAATATTTCATGTAATCTTGACTCCATCCCTCTGTTTAAGCAGCCAAGGATTGCATTAGCTTTTTTGGCTGCTAGCACACACTGCAATAAATGATTGTCCACAAGGTCTACAAGATCCCTCTCTGATAAACTGGGCAATTGGCTAATGATTGCTGCAACAAAGGAGCCTGTATCAGAAAAGGTTAAAAGTTAAAGTTAAAAGTTGTTATAACTTGTGACATGAATATTCTCTGGACTCTCCACTGAAAAACCTCCAGGTGCCCCAGTGATTTGATGCAGCTCTTGTCATCTGCATAAGCCAGCAAACAATTCTGCCCCTGGGGCTGTGTGGTTATTTCAAATTTCATTGGTTTCTGTCTGTCCTTCCTTTCCCCTTCCTTTCCTTCTAGGCCTCTGCCAGGCCATTCATTGTCAGTACGCTGGAGAAATTTCCCCCAAGAAGTGGCGAGGACTTGCAAATGCTACCTCAGGATTCTTTTGGTCTCTGGGGAAATGCTGGGGCCAAATCTTGGGACTCAGGTACAGAAGGAGCAGGATGAGAAAAGAGGGAGGGGGCTGTTCCTCCACCTCCAACCTCCATTCTCCTACTCTCCAGGGAACTCCTGGGAACTGATTCATCCTGGCCTCTGCTGTTGGCCTTTCCTGGTGTGGCAGCATTCCTCCAGCTGCTCCTCCTGCCCTTCTTCCCTGAGTCTCCTTCTTATCTCTTAATCCAGGAGGGAGATGAGGAAGGCTGCCTGAAAGGTAAGTTGTCCTTTAAAAAATTGGTCTCACCTCAGAATGACCAAAGTAGAGATGGTCTTGGCAAATGTGTTTTCCAAACCTTTGACTGGCCAGGATTAAGGAGGAGTTGGAGATGGTAGGGACTTCAGCTTCCCTGCCAATCTTTGCATCATTGTCGTCATCTTCCTCATTGTCATTATCTAGTGCTTCTTTTGAAGGGTCGAGAATGTGCTGTGCCATAAGGCTGTTGTGTGAAGGTTAAAGGGAAAGGCAATAAGAGTGGCTTATTTGACTAAATATATATGGGGGGTACTTGGCAGAATTCTGATCAATGTAATATGAGAGGGAAGTCATGGGACATAATCCTTAAACAATCCTCCTATTGGGCCTTCACTCACCTGGATCATATTGAACAGAGTTGCTGGCCTGTAATCTGTGGCTGTCATAAGAACAGAAAAATTGTGGTGATTGGTGTTCTTGCTGCCACAAGGTCATCCTTAAGAGAGGTTCTTACATATGTTTTCTCTATTTTATGCACTCCTTGTGGAGCCTTTTTGGATGCTTCAATTCCTGGAATTTTTCTAAAAGCCAGGATGCAAAACACGATCTATGAACAGGAGGGGCCACCCAGGAATAACCTGGTACAAGGGTGCTGTTGTCCACCATCATTCCGAGCAGTAACTAAGGCCTCATTCATAGTACAAGACCCTCAAGAACAATCCTAAGGTCCTTTTGAAAGGACCAGCATGGTCCATGAGGTACCCAAAGTGGACCAAAGGAATGTTTCCAAGGTCCTACATCAGCTGTGGAGAACTACAAAACCATCAAAGAGTGATCTAATCATGACAAGAGATAGATATTAATATCTCCAGATCACATTGCCACTGGCTCAAGACAAAAAACAAACTGAACCTCTGTCCTCTACTAAGGCCATGGTTGCCACAGCTAGGGAAGGCAGGTGAAATCTCCCAGTGTCATAAGTTTGGAAGCTCCATTGCCAACCTGACAGAGAATCAGGCAATTCAGACATTTCTGTTTTTCTATCCAACTAGCCCAATCCTTAGCAAGCTGTGAGCTAGGGCAGGGGATCTCAACTTCAGCAACCCAAAAGATCTGTGGATTTCAACTTTCAGAATTCCTCAGCCCCAAATCATAAAGTTGCAGGGGGGGGGACACGGAGCTACAGGACCAAGCCAGGGGGCAGCTTCCTCCGTCCAAGTGGGCTCCTTTCCTAGTGACTGCTTAGAGGTCGGGGCAGCTGCTACTCTGGGGCTCTCGTGGCCTATAGGGCCTTTCTGGCTGTGGGGAAAGGGTGCTGCTGACTTGGCTAATCTTTGTAACCTGCATCTTTTCTCTTCCCCAGCAATGCACCAGCTGTGGGGTCAAGGGGATCACAAGGAAGAGCTTGAGGAGCTGAAGAAAGAAATGGTCCCAGGAGGGCAAAGGAGCAAAGTGCTTTGGCCAGGAGAGCTGTTCCACGATGCATCACTTCGCCAGCAGCTGAGCATCCTAGTGGCTGTCATTGTTACTGTGCAGTTCTGTGGCATCAATGCAGTTAAGTATAGTCAGAAAGAATGAGGGGAGAGGGGTTTTTATCCCACTTTTTCTTAGTCTATTTATAATTCCCCTGTGTTAGAAACTCTTCTGAATTTGTAAAGAGAGGAGGGATGTCACAGAAAGATGTTCATCAGAGAAGAAACATTGCTTGATGCTTAGTAGTTGGTCTCTTGAGTATGAAATCTGTAGTGACTTACAGAGAGTGATAAAAAATAGGAAAACTTTCAGAGAGCATTTTACCAAGGCTCTGTCCGCGGTGCCATTTGGGCAGGGTTATTATGAAAAATGGTGGTCATTAAAGAAAGGCTACACAGGGACTGACAAAATGAAATGTAAATGACCAAAATTAAAATAATTTTTAAATTATTTTAAATAATAAAAGTGTTGAATTGTCAAACAATGAGTTTAAGGTGACCCGACGTCCCGCTTTTGGCGAGACAGTCATGATTTTTCAAAATTTGTCCCGTGTCCCGCTGCGTGTTCAAAAAGTCCCGATTTAAAAAGGATGCCATTAAAAAAAATGTTATTTCTCTGAAGTGTCGTTTCCGATGTGGCCTTTAGAGGGCAGGGGTTTTCCTCCCTCCACTCGGCTTGCTCGCAGCCCTCCCTCCCCTCCTGCTCTTCTGATCATATCTCCCTTCCTTTCGATCTGATTGCTTTTCTCCGGTCTCCTTTGGTGAGGGGTGGGTGGGAGGGGGGAGAAGATCTGTCATTTTCCTTCCTTTAAATATAGGGGGGAACCCAGGATTTATTGCAAATAAAGAAATCCACCCCAAATGGATCGGGAGGCGGGATGGGGGAGGGGAGTGGGAATTAGGGGAAAGGGGGATTTTCCTCCCGTGCCTTGGATTTCATTTATTTATTTATTTATTTATTTATTTGTTTGTTTGTTTGTTTGTTTATTTATTTATTTATTTAAAAGTTGCTTTTCTTGTATTTCCTTTGCTCGTTTGTTTGGTTGGTGGTGGGGGGATGAGTGG